GTGAGGACAACATTAAGCTGGTCCACCGCATGGCCATCATCATGAGGACCAAGAGGCTAGATAACATCAACATGGCTCCCAGAGGGTAACACCTGACGACTCACATGTTGTAGTGACGTTTGAGGGTCCACGTACAGTGGTGACGTTTGAGGGTCCAAGTACAGTGGTGACGTTTGAGGGTCCATGTACAGTGGTGACGTTTGAGGGTCCACGTACAGTGGTGACGTTTGAGGGTCCACGTGTAGTGGTGACGTTTGAGGGTCCACGTGTAGTGGTGACGTTTGAGGGTCCACGTGTAGTGGTGACGTTTGAGGGTCCACGTGTAGTGGTGACGTTTGAGGGACCACGTGTAGTGGTGACGTTTGAGGGTCCACGTGTAGTGGTGACGTTTGAGGGTCCACGTGTAGTGGTGACGTTTGAGGGTCCACGTGTAGTGGTGACGTTTGAGGGTCCACATATGCTGGTGACGTTTAAAAGATCCCAATTTGCATTTCCTTATGTATTTTGATCTGTTTTGTTTATAAATTCTGCACACACATTAGCATTCAGCCGTTATGTACAAGCAGGCCCCGCTTTACTGCGCTTTGCTTCACAACATTTCGCTAATACAGCGGTTTTCAATTATACCCATTCTTCATTTATTCAGACTTACTACGATTAACATTCATAAATAGCATAAGTCCATTGAAACTATCCAACCAAGATAGGACTCGTAGCACTGAATTCAAGATGAACAAACATAGATTTAGAAATGTAAATACCGAATTGGAACAAGCTCCCAGGTTTACCTGGAGTTTACCTGGAGAGAGTTCCGGGGGTCAACGCCCCCGCGGCCCGGTCTGTGACCAGGCCTCCTGGTGGATCAGAGCCTGATCAACCAGGCTGTTGCTGCTGGCTGCACGCAAACCAACGTACGAGCCACAGCCCGGCTGATCAGGAACTGACTTTAGGTGCTTGTCCAGTGCCAGCTTGAAGACTGCCAGGGGTCTGTTGGTAATTCCCCTTATGTGTGCTGGGGCAGTTGAACAGTCTCGGGCCCCTGACACTTATTGTATGGTCTCTTAACGTGCTAGTGACACCCCTGCTTTTCATTGGGGGGATGGTGCATCGTCTGCCAAGTCTTTTGCTTTCGTAGTGAGTGATTTTCGTGTGCAAGTTCGGTACTAGTCCCTCTAGGATTTTCCAGGTGTATATAATCATGTATCTCTCCCTCCTGCATTCCAGGGAATACAGGTTTAGGAACCTCAAGCGCTCCCAGTAATTGAGGTGTTTTATCTCCGTTATGCGCGCCGTGAAAGTTCTCTGTACATTTTCTAGGTCAGCAATTTCACCTGCCTTGAAAGGTGCTGTTAGTGTGCAGCAATTTTCCCAGCCTAGATAGAACAAGTGACCTGAAGAGTGTCATCATGGGCTTGGCCTCCTAGTTTTGAAGGTTCTCATTATCCATCCTGTCATTTTTGTAGCAGATGCGATTGATACAATGTTATGGTCCTTGAAGGTGAGATCCTCCGACATGATCACTCCCAGGTCTTTGACGTTGGTGTTTCGCTCTATTTTGTGGCCAGAATTTGTTTTGTACTCTGATGAAGATTTAATTTCCTCATGTTTACCATATCTGAGTAATTGAAATTTCTCAAACGTTGAACTTCATATTGTTTTCTGCAGCCCACTGAAAGATTTGGTTGATGTCCGCCTGGAGCCTTGCAGTGTCTGCAATGGAAGACACTGTCATGCAGATTCGGGTGTCATCTGCAAAGGAAGAACGGTGCTGTGGCTGGACATCCTTGTCTATGTCGGATATGAGGATGAGGAACAAGATGGGAGCGAGTACTGTGCCTTGTGGAACAGAGCTTTTCACCGTAGCTGCCTCGGACTTTACTCTGTTGACGACTACTCTCTGTGTTCTGTTAGTGAGGAAATTATAGATCCATCGACCGACTTTTCCTGTTATTCCTTTAGCACGCATTTTGTGCGCTATTACGCCATGGTCACACTTGTCGAAGGCTTTTGCAAAGTCTGTATATATTACATCTGCATTCTTTTTGTCTTCTAGTGCATTTAGGACCTTGTCGTAGTGATCCAATAGTTGAGACAGACAGGAGCGACCTGTTCTAAACCCATGTTGCCCTGGGTTGTGTAACTGATGGGTTTCTAGATGGGTGGTGATCTTGCTTCTTAGGACCCTTTCAAAGATTTTTATGATATGGGATGTTAGTGCTATTGGTCTGTAGTTCTTTGCTGTTGCTTTACTGCCCCCTTTGTGGAGTGGGGCTATGTCTGTTGTTTTTAGTAACTGTGGGACGACCCCCGTGTCCATGCTCCCTCTCCATAGGATGGAAAAGGCTCGTGATAGGGGCTTCTTGCAGTTTTTGATGAACACAGAGTTCCATGAGTCTGGCAGGGAACTTTGGGCAGCTTTATATATAGACTAGATGGGTATATAAGTGAGTGTGGGTTGTATGAGCTGATCTACCTAGCATGGTTCATTACTGTTATAATAAAAAAAGAAGCGCTAAACCCACTAGGGTCATACAGGCTAGCATGGTCCAATAGGCCTCTTCCAGTGTTCATTCTTGTGTTTACTGTCGTGGTTTGGTAATAGGCTTCATTCCAGCCAGAATAAGCTGTATATGCTATATATGAACCTAATTACCCTCTTACAAACTGATTTATTTCTGATATGGAATTTTAAAAGATATAATTTTTATTTCTAACCATTCAAGAACTGCGTTGACGCTTTAAATCCTTGTTCCATGGCTCAATAACTCTTCTGTGACAATCCAGGGACTCATATCTTGGTAGTGTGAATGCAAAGCACAACTAAATATCTATAATGTAAGCAGAATAAAGTTATTTGCTTAAATATTAACAATTACAGGAAGCTTTAGCACAACTACTGTTACATGTTTAATTTATTTTGGAGGGAGAAAAAGGGTGCCGAAAAATAGTCATTACATTCAAGAGGCGAGCGTTAAACCTGAAAGGTCATACAGGGTTTGGGGAAGCAAAAGACAAGCAGGTTCAGTGCATATAAAAGGAGAACAGGTTTAATTCCCTGGAACAAAAGCTCCTCATCGTTATCAAGGCACATCTCTTAGGGGGGGACAAAGCGCTTTATACTTTATCGTAATTTCACTCCGTTGTAAGGTGCTTACAGCAGCAACTGCAAAATTCCTTCTTATTTTGTATTAGTGTTTGTTCATTGTAGAACCTTCACTTCTACCCACAGACCATTCGAACCTCGATCCCGGACGTCCAGCCGGAAGCCCCCAGTTTCTTCATCTAGGGAGCAGGATACATGGGACCAGGGCGAGTCGTTCCTTGAGCAGGTCACCTCTGAAGTGGAGCGACACATCAGACCGCCTCCGCCAGGCAAGCTCATCCAGGTTAGGTGTTGTGCATCTAAAAACTAGATTTATTCTAGATTTGTTGAACTTGTTCTCACAACAACCCAAAAGATAACTAATATTACTTATTCCCAGGTGGGGCCTTCCCTGAAATGTTCATATTTATGGCTATGTTACGGTGGTGTAAGGATACTTGCTCAGATGGTTCGCCAGGGAATCAAACCCAAGTCCTTTCGGTTGTAAGCCAAATTGTCTACCCATGAGTTACAGATCGTTACCATAGCAAGCAATGAAAATATAACAAAATGCCCTAGTATGGGTAAACAAGCCTACGACAGAGTTCCATTTTTATGTTACGTAACCTTTTGAAATAACACATTTTAACATGTAGCATATTAACACGTTATCAACTTGTAACTTATTAACAACACGATTTAACATGCCACCAGCATCGGGCCCCAGCAGGTCTGTGTAGGGTCCCTCACGTGGGTCCCCCTCCTTCACCCAGGACATCTGCTCGCCGCAGTCATCGTGTACCTATTATCACCCTGCCCCTCATCAGCCCTAGGTATGTGCCCTTCATTTTATTGATTGTCGCCAGACCAAACTCCCATTATAAATTAAATAAAATTAGTAATTAACCATAGAAAAAACTGCAGCAGGTCTATTGATCTATGCAATGTAGATTCTGTTTACATCCAGTCATTCAATAAATCTCACTAGTACTCTAACTGCAGCTGAAGCCGCCGCAGCCACCAAACTATATTCTATAAATTCGAGTGATGTAGTGTTACATACATGTCTTCTGTGACATTAAGAAGTTATTAAAGCATGTGTTGGATACATAGATACTCGAGAAAGTAACACATGCTCTGCCTCCGACAGGTCCCGTAGGAGCCTATCACCCACCGCTGTCTCAGAGAGGTCTCGCGGGACTCCATCGCCCACCACCGTCTCCGACAGGTCCCGCAGGAGTCCCTCTCCCACAACAGTCTCAGAGAGGTCCTCTGCCAAGTGCCGTCGTGGCAGGGAGACTACTAGGCTTTCTCCCCTGCCTGGCCTCCCCCGGCGCCCCAGTATTACTGCTTCACTCCCCTCCCCTCATGACGACAACTCCAGCTCCGCCGCTGACGATGACGGTGACTTTGAGGAAGCTGCAGAGAGCTACCAGTCAGATGAGAGTCAAGAAACTGAGAAGCAAAGCGAAAAATCGGAAGATGAGAACAAGAAAACAGATGGAGAGAACGTGAGTTCAGGAGAGGGTGGAGAAAGCAAGGAAAATAGTAACAATAAGAACAAGAGAGGTCAAGTAAGGGAGGGGTCAGGCGAGACTGACAGTGATGATAGGGTTTCATCCATCCTCCTCAGCCATCATCCCAACATCACCATCGACGAGCCAAGTGATGATGAGTTTTACACTTAAGTCACCATCAGATACGCGTCCTCTCAAGAATACTCCATCCCGCAAGTCACTTGGATGCGCTTTACATCTCCGGAGAATATATGTAATATCCTTCCTTCCATTTAGTATAAATTTAATATGGGAGAAATATTTTACCCTTAACATCTAAGCTAGGTTATTTATGCTATGTTCCTACACAGACCCGACATAACTGCAACCATGTGCGCGCATGTGTGCGCACGCTTGTTCTACTGTCCTCATTTTTTCCCAAGAACAATGTCTAACAATGGGGAGGCACTTGGGCTGCATCTTCCCCGCTTGTTCATAGTTTTGAAGTACATATACGAGGCAAGGCGCCTTGCTTGCGCTGATATACAAGGTGCTGGGGTTACGGAATATTAAGGACAAGTCTCTCGGATCGTGCAGGAACCGAAATACATTGGTTTTTGATACGTCACATCCTTGTTTACAAGTGAAGTGTCACAGGTTAGCATCGTCAGTAACCTGCTGGCTGCGCCTGAGTGAGGGTTGTGTCATCGCCTCTCATCTGAGCTGCTACTTCTCTCTAATATTGGTGAACATAATCTTGTGTATGCATTGGTGGAGGGTAATTGTTAAAATCAAATTTTAAGGTAATTCCTTGGAGGAAATGCCTAAACATTAATTATTCAAAGCAGTGTAAAAAATGAACTAAAGAACTTTTTAAGTTTAAACAAGAATACTATGGGAGATCACTATCACATTTTGTTGATACATAAATAAAAATACAATTTAAGTAATTTTTATTTTATTTAATTCATTTACGATGATCCAGAATTAAACTGGAAAATGTATAATTTAGTAGTACCACTTAAAACTAACATTATAGTAGAGGTGGTGTAGTGAGGCCGCAGGATGCAGTCTTTCTCAGTCTAATAACCGTAGCTGAGCACCTTAATCAGAAAAAAGAACATTGCTAGCCTCATCTATATTACTAGTGGGAAACTGACAGCAGCAGCACCAGTGTGTGGATAAGAGGGATAACAATAGTGGCAGGATAGAAGGTGAAGAATGCAGGGCAGAAGAATTCTGGTGCTGGTAGCAACCTCACTCAATGTTGCTTCTTGCCACTTCAACTCCGTCTCAGGTACGATACCACTGTCTCTAACATGTATTGCTATCATGTTACAACACCACCCCTGTCTCTCTAACATATTTTCCTGTCCTGGTAACATCACCACCACCTCTAACATGACTTGCTATCCTGGTAACATCGCCACCACCTCTAACATGACTTGCAATCCTGGTAACATCGCCACCACCTCTAACATGACTTGCTATCCTGGTAACATCACCACCACCTCTAACATGTCTTGCGCTCCTGGTAACATCACAACCACCTCTAACATGTCTTGCTATCCTGGTAAAATCACCACCACCTCTAACATGTCTTGCTACCCTGGTAACATCACCACCACCTCTAACATGTCTTGCTACCCTGGTAACATCACCACCACCTCTAACATGTCTTGCTACCCTGGTAACATCACTTAACTTTCCGCTGTCTTCCCTCATCCAGATGATAATGACGACCATCACATAAATTACCATTGAGGAAATTTTCCTGCCATATGCTTTGGTCCACTACGTTATCATACTGTATATTAATTGTAGACTTCATAGTATAGGACAATCTACATGTTAGGCTATTACATGACAAGTCAAGATTTAGTAAGAATATAATCAGTAATTCATAGCAATTAATAATCAAAACAGACAAGAATGTGAGTGTTAGCAAGCAGTGACCAGTATATTGCTGGATGGAATAATGAGTCTGGGTTCTCCCGTGAATAGCACCACTAAATATCATTATATTTACGAGGGCCATATAGCACTTTGGGAATGTGGGATGTATGGAGGGTAATCAAGTTTGATTCAAGGAAGAAGAGGGTACTTTCAGTTTCTTGGATCAAGAGCCAGTCACCTGCGTCAAGGCACCCTCCTCGAAGGGGAAAACTGTTAATGACCCTGTAAACCCCCGACAAGAATATATTCTTAGTAGTTCCTTAAAACCACTTTGTTCTTTGTAGTAGGTTGGTAGACAGCAACCACCCAGGGAGGTACTACCGTCCTGCCAAGTGAATGTAAAACAAAAGCCTGTAATTGTTTTACATGATGGTAGGATTGCTGGTGTCTTTTGTCTGTCTCATAAATATGCAAGATTACAGGCATGTCTTGCTACTTCTACTTACACTTAGGTCACACTACACATACATGTATACACGTTTATTTATACACACTCATCTGAGTTTTCTTTGATTTTATCTTAATAGTTCTTGGTCTTATTACTTTTCCTTTTATATCCATGGGGAAGTGGAATAAGAATCTTCCCTCCGTAAGCCATGCGTGTTGTAAAAGTCAAATAAAATGCAGGGAACAATGGGCTAGTAACCCCTTTTCCCGTAAAGATTACCAAAAAGAATAAGAAGAAAATTGTCAAAGTGGGAAGTCTGAATGTGCGTGGATGTTGTGCAAATGATAAGAAAGAGATGATTGTGGATGTTATGAATGAGAAGAAGCTGGATGTCCTGGCTTTAAGTGAAACGAAGCAGAAGGGGGTGGAAGAGTTTCAACGGAGAGGAATAAATGGGATTAGGTCAGGGGTTTCAAATAGAGCTAAAGAAGGAGTAGCAATAATGTTGAAGGATAAACTATGGCAGGAAAAGAGGGACTATAAATGTATAAATTCAAGGATTATGTGGAGTTAAATAAAGATTGCGATGTGAAAGGGGGATTATAGTAAGCGTGGAATGCACCTGGAGAAGGAAAGAAATGTTGAGGAGAGAAATTTTGGGAAATGTGAGTGAATTGCGTGGGGAGTTTTGAATCAAGTGTGAGAGTAATGATGGTTGGGGATTTCAATGCTAAAGTGGTAAACATGTTATGGCAGGGAGTAGTAGGTAAATTTGGGGTGCAGGGGAAATGTGAATAGGGGAGTCTTTTAATTGAGCTATGTGTAGAAAGAGATTAGGTAATAAGTACATACATATTTTATGAAAAAGAGGCATAAAATAAATATACAAGGTATGATGTAGCACGTAATGAAAGTTGTTTGTTTGATTATGTATTGAGTGGATAAAAGGTTGATGGGTAGGCTCCAGGAAATGTACATGTTTCTTGAGGGAAACTGATTATATCGGTCATTATTTAGTTGTAGCTACAGTTAGAGTAAGAGGTAGTGGGAAAAGAAGGAACGGTGGCAACACAAGTAGAGGGATGTGAAAAGTGTATAAACTAAGGGAGGAGGAAGTTCGGGGGAGATTTAAATAGCGACTGTTGGCAGAAAGGTGGGCTAGTGAAAGATGAGTAGTGGGGGGGGGGGGGGGGGGTTGAAGAGGGTTGGATTAGTTTTCTAAAATGCAGGTATTAGAATGTGGGCAGAAGTTTGTGGTTATTAGGGGGTGGGGGCAGGTGGAAAGAGGAGGTGATTGATGGAATGATGAAGTAAAGGGTGTGATAAAAGATGAAAAAGTTAGCTTATGATGAGGTTTTTTACAAAGCAGATAGTGTTATAAAGAAGAGCAGAGTATATTGAGGTAAAGAAAGGTGAAGAGAGTGGTGAGAGAGTGCAAAAGGAGAAACAGATGATAGGAGTGGAGAGGGCACTGTCAAGAAATTTTTAATTGAAAATAAGAAAAAAATTTGGGTGTGAGTTAAACAAGTTAAGAACTAGGGTAAGTATGGGGGATTTGTCAGTTAAAAAACAGTGTAGGGGAGTTTAGTAGATGGGGAGATGGAGGTATTAGGGTAGATGGCGAGAATTATTTTGAGGACTTTTTAATGTTGAGGAAAAAAGGGAGGCGGTAATTTCTGCACTTGGTCCAGGGAGGTATACCATCGTTTAGGAGTGAAGAAGAGCGAATGTAAGTGTGGGGGAGGTCGTGAGGCATTACGTAGAATGAACAAAGGGGTTGTAAGCAAGTTATGAACTGAGGGGATCATGGACAGCAAAATTTTAAAGCAGGGGGGGGGATATAGTGTTGAAAGTGGTTGGTATTTTTGTTTAAAAAAATGTATGAAAGGGGGGAAGGGTCCCTAGGGATTGGGGGGAGGAGTTAGTCCCTTTATAAAAAGGAAGGGGGAAAAAAGAGATTGAAAAAAAGTTAAGATAAGAAAGATAAATTTCTTTGGTTTTTTAACCCCCGGAGGGTTAGCACCAGGAACCCCAAAAAAGTCAGTGCGTCATGAGGATGTCTAATTATTTCCATTGGGGGCCTTAACTTGTCCCCCAGGGTGCGACCCACACCAGTGATAAAAACCCAGGTACCTTTTCTGCTAGGTGAAAAGGGAACAGGTGAAGGAAAAGTGCGAAATGTTTCCACCCGCCCGGGGAATCGAACCCCGGCCCCCCGTGTGTAAGGGGATTTAGCCCCCCAAAAAGTGTACGGTAGGGTTTAATTGAAAAAAATTAGAGGTAAGACAGAATTTTGGAATTGCGGATGGCAAAGGAGGTTTCAGAGTGGGTAGGGGATGTGTAGGATAAGTGTTTACATTAAAGGGCATTTGGGGCAGTATTTAGAAAAAGGTTGGGGAGGTTTTTTTTGGCATTTATGGAGGGGGAAAAAAAATTTTTGATAAAAGTGGATAGGGGAAAAATTGTGGCAAAATGTTGTAAGTATAGGGAAAATGGGGGTAGGTTACTAAATGCTGTAAAGGGGTTTTTATAAGGATAGTGGGGCTCAGGTTAGGGTGTGTAGAAAGGGGGAGATTTACTTCCGGAAAAAAGTTGGTTTTGACAGGGATGTGTAATTTTCCGGGGGTTTGGTTTTAAATATTTATGAGGGGGTTTGGGAAAAGAAGTAAATGCTAGGGTGTTCGGGGAGGGGGGGGATTAAATTTTTGGGGTTTCAAATTCAAAAGGGGGAATTAACACATTTTATTTTTTGGGGATGTTACTGTGTTTTGGGGAGATTTAAAAAAAAAATTCAAAAGGTTAGTGGATGGTTTGAGAATGGGGTGTAAAGGTAAAAAAGTTGAAAGTGAACATAGAAAAGAGAAAAGAAAATGAGGGTATCAAATGATTTAGATAAAAAAAAAATTGGATATAAAATTTGGAGAGGAGGAGTATGGGGAAGTGAATGTTTTCAATTTTTGGAGAGTTGACGTGTGGGCCCGGAGGGATTTAAAAGGGTTGGGGTTTAAAATAATAAAAATTTGAGGGAGGGGAAAAAGGTTGAGTGGTGCATTGAGGTATTTTGTGGAGTAAAAAAAACTTTATTATGGAGGAAAAAAGAAGGGAATGTATGAAATTTATTTTTGTCCCAACACTTTTATATGGGTGTGAAGCTTGGGTGGAAAAGGGCACCCAGCGGGGGAAGACGTTTGGAGGCATTTGGAGATGCCCTTTTTAAAGGGAAATGTGTGGTGTAAATATTATGCAAAAAATTGGAGTGGGGGAAATTGGGAAAAAAGGGTGTGGATTTAAATTAAAAAGTATTAGTCAGAGGGCAGAAGGGGGGTTTTTAAAGGGGGTTTTGGTCATTTAGAGAGAATGGACCCAAAGTAGAATGAAATGGAAGCATAAAAAATTTTATAGGGGAAGGAAGGCGAGGTGGGGGTGTCCTCAAAAGGGTTGGTTGGGGGAGAGGGGGTTTAAAAGGAGGTTTTGTGGGCAAGGGGCTTGGATTTCCCGAAAAGCGGCTGGGGTGTTAGATAGGAGTAAATTGGAGCGAATGTTGTTGGGACCTGAGGGATTTTTGGGAAAGTGTGAGCAGGGTAATTTTTTGTAAAAGGGATTCAGGGAAAACGGTTATTTTCATACAGTGGACTTGGTCCGGGAAAGGGGGAATTTTCCCAATGCCTGCACTTTAAAGGGGGGGTTTTTGGGAAAATTGGCAGTTTGGAGGGTTGGGGTTGGGGTATCTTTATACGTATATGCTTCAAAAATGTTGTATTTGGCACCTCGGCAAAAACAGTAAATTATGTGGGGAGTGGGGTTTGAAAGTTTTGGGAAGTTTGGATAAAAAGATTTTTTTTTTGGGGTTTTTTCTTTTTTTTTGGGTAAACCTCCCTCGGGGGGAGACGGCCGACTTGTTAAAAAAAAAAAAATTTTATTATTATATATTTATATTTATATTTTTAATATATATATATATTTATATATATATTTATATATATATATATATTTTATATTTTTTATATATAAAAGGTCTTTGGCCGAAAGGTGAAACTTGCGATTTTGGTTTTTTTAGCGCGCTCTTCTTGCCGAATAAGGCGACGAAAATTTGTGTAGGGCAAAAATTTTCGAAAAATTTCTTCTAAATACCTAACGAAAAAAATATATTTCTTGTGTTTGTTTTTTTTATTAAATTATTGTAAACTTATCTAAAATTTTATTTAATTGGATTAGGCTAAAATTTAAATTTCGCTTCTTGTAGTAAGGTTTTGGGAAAGTTGTATTTAAATTTTTTTTGGTTAAAAAAGTATTTAAATTTTACATTAACATAAAAGAAAAATTTTTATCTTTTAAAAAGTTAAAGAGAAAAATTTTTTAAAGGGCTTAATTTTAAAAAGAGTTCTTTTTTAAATTTACCGTTTTACCTTTTCGGCACATGTGAACAAAGTTTTCCCAAAAAATTTAAGATTTGTGATATCCCTATTTTCTGTGTCTTTTTGCTATATGTATTTATTTAAAATTTTTGTCACTCCCACCAGTCATAACACTCCCGCTGCTTTGGGTCTAGAAGCCCTACACCCTTTCCCCTTCCCCGGGGTGAAGAATGACATGTTTAATACAGGAAAGTAGGCTTGAGTTTAGATTGCTTTTGACACTAGTTTTTCCTCCGCAAAGTTTTTTCCTTTCTGCAGAGATCATTGATAATGTACTAAAAATTTCCTTAGGCTTATTTCCTTGAAAAAGGTTTTAAACCTTGAATAACCCCAAAAAAAGTTAAATATTTTTGCTGATTGTTCTTCCCTAGGCAAATTTTTTTGGTTTTAAATATTATGCCGGGGAATTTTGTGTGGGGAAATTAGGGGAGGTTTTGGGGGTTCAAAGAGTATTATTCAGGGGGGGCCGAAGGGGGGGTTTTTGGGGATGGTTTGGTCATTTAGAGGGATGGAGCAAAAAAGAATTTAATTGGGGGTGTATAGCCCTTGTGGTTTAGCGCTTCTTTTTGATTTTAAAAATTAAAGGAGGGTGTTAAAATCTGTAGTGGAGGGGAAGAAGGGATTGAGGTCGTCTTAGGGAAGGGTGGAGGGAGGGGGGAAAAAAGATTTGGTGTGGGAAAAGGGCCTAGACATGTAGCAGGCATGTGTAGGGTTTTTGATAGGGTGAATGGGGACGAACGGTTTTTGGGGGCCTGACGAGCTGTTAAATGTGAGAGGGTTTTAAAATTTTTTGAAGCGAAAACAGGAAATGGGGGGGCCCGGGTTGAGGCCCGGGGGTGGGAAGTCAGTGCCTGCACTTTAAAGGGGGGTTGGGATATTGGGTGTTTGGGGTGATTTGGGAAAATGTCATATCGGGGCACCTCTGTTAAAAACACATTTTGTGTGAATGATGGTTTAAATGTTTCTTTTTTTTTTTTTTTTTTTTTTTTTGGGGGGGGGGATTCACCCTGGGTCGGTGGGAGACGGCCGAAGTTAAAAAAAAAAAAAAGTAAGATTTGGGTTTAAAACGTAATGTACCCTGAGAATTAAATCCGGCCCCCTTTAGTGTGTAAAAGGAAGGAGAAAAGCCAGGGGAAAGAGGGTGGTTACAATAAGGAGCCCCAGAATTTTATAATCAAATAAAGGTAAAGCGAAGGAGAGAGGGAAAAGTAAGGAAAACTTAAACTGCACAAATCCACCGCTGGTGGGTAGGACTACTGAAATAGTTTCTTTAGTTTTTTAGGTTTTTAAAATGTATACATCTCAGTGTATATTTACTTTTTAAAAAAATAGTATTATTATAATAAATAAAGCGCTAACCGACAAGGGACATGCAGAAAAGAACTAGTAAAACCTTGCATTTAAGTTAGGCTCTATCGTTGGTTTATACCCTTATTACCTTATTAATTTAGGGGGGAAAAAACCCAAACCTTTAAGGATTTTACAGTGCTTGGGGTTTTATCGAAGAGGGGAGATCAAACTCTTGGATCAACAACCCTTAAAGATTAAAGCCAGCAGTTCACCGTTCATAAGGCCCGAATTCTATTTTTAAAATTTATTAATAAACCTATTTCCAAAATTTAGTCAACGGGAAATTTGTTTTTCATAAATTAAGCCCTTTAAAATTTTTTTTTCAATCCATTTTCTATAAGGGGGGGAAAAAACCCCTAATTTATAGTCCAAAAGAAACCCAAAAATTCAATGTTTATAAAAATAGGAAAATTTTTATGTCAAAGAGGGTATTGCTTTAACCCTATTAATTTGTTCCACCAACCCCTTGCTTTTGGAAGGGGGAAGAGGGGCATTCGGGTTTGATCCAGGGAAAGGAATGACAAAAAGCTGTAGATCCCGGTCAAGATTCTTCGAAGCATTTAAGGGGTTTCCCCTTGAGGGGTCAGCCGGGGGGAGGGGGGGGGGTTGGGACGAGGTTCGAAGGGAAAAAGAAAATTTTGATTGAGTTAGAAAGGGGGAAACTGGAAGCCTGTAAAGGGGCCAAAAAATAATATGTTTAACCCGGGAAACAACGCGATACTGTTATATTCAACAAGTTTGCCCTTGCGAATGTTGAAGAGATTATATTTTTCTTTATATTTGGAAGGGGAAAGCTGTACCCGCAAGAGCCGTCCATCGCTAGAGGCTGCATAAATGACTCAGTGTTCTTCTCAACACTGACATTGAAATCGACAGAATACTACAAAAAATTACGATGGTACGTACGATATTTAATTAAAAAAATTCGTTGATGGCCAAGGCGCGCCCTTCAACATGCGAGTTGTTACAGGTGAGAATGGAACGGTATTTGTAAATAATAAACATGAATATGATAGAGCTTAAAAATCTGATAGAGTTTATGGGTTATCATTGTTATATTAATGGGGAAGTGGTAAACCTGCATGGGGCCATACAGCGCCTGGGGAATAAGAGGTAATCAGGTTTGAGCCAAGCCATTTGAGTAAGCAAGTGTCTGAAAGGGTCAGAAAAGATCTAGCAGAAATCAGAGTATTTCTAGCAAAAATACCTGCGTCGCTTCAGATTATAACAACTTAATAAATGTGCAGACTGGAGATGAAGAGAGGGCAAGAAAGAGAGAGCGTGGAAAAGAGATCAATAAGCGGGAGCGGAGGGGCAACTGAAGGGCAAGTAACGTGCCAAGGGAATGTGAAGGGCAGGAAGAGAACAAAGAGGAAGGAGGGAGGATGGATACAATGAGAAGAGTAAGGAGGGAGGATAGATAGTGAGGAGGATGGTCAAGAGGGAAGACATACAGTGAGGAGTTACGTAAGGAGAAAGGTGAGGATGCAGGATAAATACAGCGAGAGAGTAAAAGCCAGACATGTACACAAAAACATGCATGAACAATAATTGACAACATAATTCCATCCTCCACTTAGTTGACCTGAGTTTCTTCTCAAATATGTGTGTGTATCATGATTGGCTCTTGTATGAGACGGCATAAGATATGAAAAAGGAACAGACCAACATACAAAAAATTCAACGAAAATCCTATTGCTTACTGATCCATATTATTGTGTTCATGGTTGAAGTGCTCAGTGTGTAAGTTATACAACGCCGGGGGAATGGGAGGTAATGAGGTTTGAATGGATGAAGTGGAGGGTAACTCAAATTCCTTGGATCAAGAGCCTTTTGCCAGCATCAAAGCACCCTCCTTGAGGGGTTAATGACTCATAAATCTTGGGTTACATTTGTGTAATAATGGAGTGGTAATTCACACACAAGAAAGTATGCAAGTGGACAGCAGTCAATAGACTCGGGGGATAAATGAAGCAACTCACTAGCACAGGCACCCTTTGAGGGAGGTGCTTTGATATCGGTGGGACTCTTGATCCAAGTAATTGGGGTCACACCCCCTCCCTTCCTTGGATCAAATATGATAACGCTCCGATTCAGGAGCTGTATAACTACTACGGGTATAATAATGTTGGTAGAATTACCGACAATATTTTAGGTAAAAGGACACAAGTGCAACTAATTTGACATTTTATTGCGGCAACGTTTCGCTCCTGGCGAGCGAAACGTTGCCGCAATAAAATGTCACATTAGTTGCGCTTGTCCCTCTACCTAACAAATTGCTACGGGTGTTGGTACATTCCATGATAACACTGGGATAACTTCTACATCACAATCAAGAATTTTCATCAAACTTTAACAAAGCAATAATCCAAAAGTCTTACGTATCGTTAAAATTTATAACAAATAAGAGTTTTTTTTTTCTATCTCCCTCTTCTCAGGTGGATGCAATGTGACCATCCTGAGTGAGGAGAATAATGAGGGGCTGATTGCTTCTCCTGACTACCCTGGCACCTACCCGCCCTCCACCACCTGCACTTACACATTTCGAGGCTCCCAGTACCAGAGGGTTCAACTCATCTTCACCTCCTTCTCTCTTAGGAACGCACCACCTCATCTCAAACCTCACGAGAGGTGCGTGCTGAAGTTTGACAAATATTAGAAAAACACTAAAAGGAGAACAACCTATTAACGAGTAAACAATTTGGCTTTGGATCTGGAAATTAAATTTATTAAGGTTTTATGAGTCGGAAATTGTCAGGGATAAAATGGATAGGCAGACTGCATTTATCTAGATTTTGAGAAAGTTTTTGATAAGAGTCCGCCCATGACAGACTAAATTGTAAACTTTAAAACGTAGGAATGAAAGGTAAATGCTTAAAATGGAAGAGAAACTTTGCCTGAGAAAAATGCTTTGAGTTATAAAAAGTAAAAACATCCTCGTGGGAAGTTGTCACAAACAGGCTGCCCCAAGGATCTGTACTTGCCCCAACAATTTTTTTTTCATTTATATAAATGATTCACCAGAAGAAAAAAAACTATAAATCTGTTTGCAGATGATGCAAAATATATTAGATACAATAAATAATAACCATGACTAAATTTTTTTCAGGATGACTGATCAATTGAGTAAATGGAAGTTGTTTTGAACCAGCAGCAAAATCAAAATAACAAGAGATTAATATTGTGTTATAAAGAAAAATAAGAAACGGCAATAAAAAGTTTTCTAGATGGCTCGAAAGGGCTACAAGAAAAAAAATGTGCTAGTCACCGGAAATTTTAAAAATATATAATAAACTAATCTAAGAAGATGCAGCACCACAAGCGTAACTAGTCCTATATGAACCTTGGCATAATCATTAACCTAAATTTTGTCTTAATCCCTGGACAATGTACAGCTTCCTCCATAGCTGTTATATCTTTCTCATTAGTTGACATACAGACGACAGAAGGAAAATCACCACAAATATAGTAACTAGTACTATACATAACGCAAGACTAAAAAACGTGCTGACAGGTATCTGTGAGCCAGATATAGGTAAATTGAGGAACTGTAGGATTTGCATACATACTACCTTAAAATGCATCAAAACTAAAACTATCCAGTAATAGCAAACAATAAATACGATCAAAATAACTTAAAATTTTGCAAACAAAAAGCCCAACAGCTCATTCATGCTGGGCATTCTTATTGCTACTAAAATGCGTAATACTTCAGCAAAAGATGCTGAACAGCACCTATGAACAGTATGTTTGATGAAGATGCTAAGAAAGAATCATACGGCTTTTGTGTTGCAGTTGTCAGCATACTGATGCAGTTGCCGTGTACAACCTGTTATGCAACACCACCATGGACCTGCAAGAAGTGGACACCTTCTGCGGCCTGAGCGTCCCCCTACCAGTCATGTCCTCAACCTCAGGTACTTTTCTTGTAATTGCCCCCACACTCTGAGTGTAACTTTTAAAACGAAGATAGAGGAATTGTGATGGTGCAAACTGCCAACCCACTAGAGGTCTGATTAACACATTTCGTACATGCACTAAAAGAACTACATCTCAGTTCCAGCGAAGTCCACTGGAATTATTGCAATAATATCTATATTTTCTCCACATGCTGTTAGTTGCAGTTCGTCTATTTTATTTCTTGCGTTCCCGCTATTCGTACAGAATTGTAGATTTCAAAAGTTTTTGCCTTGATGCTCTCTCATGTCTCAAGACCCATTCCCGTGTTGTTAACAGTAATTATTATAAATCTATCCTATTCTCTGAACGTTAAGATAAAATTTTGTTCGGATTTTTAATTCAGGAGGGTTAGCCACCCAAGAATGTCAGTACTTCCTCGAGGATTGTGTATTTCCATTGGGGCCCTTTAATCTTGTCCCCCCAGGATATGACCCACAACAGTCGACCTACTTGCTTGCTAGATGAATGGGACAGCAGGTGTAAGGAAACACGCCCAATGTTTCCACCCGGCCGGGAATTGAACAACAGACACTCAGTGTGAGGCGAGGCCACGGGACACCCTAACTTGACAATTTTTGCTCTCTCTGTCCCTAGCACTGTAACTCCTTTGTTTCCCCACACATACCCATTCCTCTATATTCTGCCAGTATAAAGTCTTACACAGTTTAGCAGCGAGTCCTTTGACTGAACTTGCTAACACTACCGCCCCTGCCCCTGAAAGATGCACTCCATCCCTTACATACCTGTTTGCCATAGAAATTATACCAGTTGTCAGTGAATGGAATTTCATGTTTCTTGAAGGGCTCGTCTAGCCAGCAGGTCACAACAATTGGCCTAGGCAAAATGTTACATATAACTGGGATCCCTTCATTTGACCTGATTAGATCAGTAGCTACCTTGTACTTGACCAGCATCTCTTCTCTCCTGCATTGCCTACCGTCATTGACCCCAACACTAATGCATATAATGGGTTTGTTTTGTATCTGATATTATTTAAACCTTAAAAGTTAAATAACATAAGATGTTAAAAGGACCCCAGTGGAAATAAGTCACTGACTTTTTTGGGTTATACGTAATTTATACTGTATGATAGTTGTACTTGTGTGTACCTATGCCCAAATAAACTTACTAACCTGCTAACTCCGTCATTCACACCTGTTCCACGGAAACGTACCCTTTACCTTACCTTTTTATTCCTGTAACGAAATGTTCAATCCATATATCTAATTTCAATCTCCGACAATGTATTTTTTTTCACATGTTGAGGCATTTATCCTGTGTCCTTGTTAACAACCACACTCACCCTGAAGAACAGCAAAGTTATGTTATGCGCTATGTATGATAATTTGTAACTATTTGTTAGTGTACCTGTACCAGAATAAACTTACTAAAGCTATTCCCATTCTTCACCTTTTCTCAGTTTCATTCTTCTCCTAATTTTGGAAACCATTTTTCATTTATTATATTTAACATGTTTTCCTTTGTTACTGCGAACCACTACACATTCCTTAATACATTTACTATCCTTCCTATCCAAATGTGTTTTTCTCTTAAGAGCCAAAACCTCAGCTGTATTGATTTGGTGATTATTCAGACGATTATTATTATTATTGCAATCCAAAGGAAGCGCTAAACTACAAGGATTATACAGCGCAGCAGGGCAGGGAAGAATGCAAGGGTATTAGGTAGCAAGAGGGAGAGGGATGATTATTAGATTATGGAGTTATTCAGACGATTACTATTCAGACTTCAGTCCTGTCTTCCAGTTTTCTCCTTACCTCTTCACCCGATTTGTCTTCTGTTTTTTTTTTCTTTCCTTTTTCAGTCGTTGCTTGCTAATGGTCCTTGATGGTCAACAACGTCGTCTTGAGTTTTCTACCCAGATGTTGTGTTCTAAATTTTTCATGCAACATTGTAACTTTTATCATGTATAATGTCATGTTTTGCTGTAAGAGCATAATGAATACTACTTATAGACGCAATAAAATGATACACGAGTGCATACACAAGCATTAAGTGAAGGACCCCAATGGAAATAAGTCGCTCTGACTTTTTCGGGCTATCCTAGGTTCTTTACACATATTTACCTGGAGTTTACCTGGAGAGAGTTCCGGGGGTCAACGCCCCCGCGGCACGGTCTGTGACCAGGCCTTATGGTGGATCAGGGCCTGATCAGCCAGGCTGTTACTGCTGGATGCACGCAATCCAACGTACGAGCCACAGCCCGGCTGGTCAGGTACCGACTTTAGGTGCTTGTCCAGTGCCAGCTTGAAGCCAGCCAGGGGTCTATTGGTATTCCCCCTTATGTATGCTGGGAGGCAGTTGAGCAGTCTTGGGCCCCTGACACTTATTGTGTTGTCTCATAACGTGCTAGTGACACCCCTGCTTTTCATTGGAGGGATGTTGCATCGTTCGCCGAGTCTTTTGCTTTCGTAGTGAGTGATTTTCGTGTGCAAGTTTGGTTAACTAGTCCCTCTAGGATTTTCCAGGTGTATATAATCGTGCATCTCTCCCGCCTGCGTTCCAGGGAGTACAGGTTCAGGAACTTCAAGCGCTTCCAGTAATTGAGGTGTTTTATGTCCGTTATGTGCGCCGTGAAGGTTCTCTGTACATTTTCTAGGTCAGTAATTTCACCTGCCTTGAAAGGTCTGTTAGTGTGCAGCAATATTCCAGCCTAGATAGAACAAGCGACCTGAAGAGTGTCATCATGGGCTTGGCATCCCTAGTTTTGAAGGTTGTCATTATCCATCCTGTCATTTTTCCAGAAGATGAGATTGATAAAATGTTATGGTCCTTGAAGGTGAGATCCTCTGACATGATCACTCCCAGGTCTTTGACGTTAGTTTTTCGCTCTGTTGTGTGACTGGAATTTGTTTTATACTGATGAAGTTTTAATTTCCTCATGTTTATCATATCGGAGTAATTGAAATTTCTCACCGTTGAACTTCATATTGTTTTCTGCAGCCCACTGAAAGATTTGGTTGATGTCTGCCTGGAATCTTGCAGTGTCTGCAATGGAAGACACTGTCATGCAGATTCGGGTGTCATCTGCAAAGGAAGACACGGTGCTGTGGCTGACATCCTTGTCTATGTCAGATATGAGGATGAGAAACAAGATGGGAGCAAGTACTGTGCCTTGCGAACAGAGCTTTTCCCCGTAGCCCCCTCAGACTTTACTCTGTTGACTACTACTCTTTGTGTTCTGTTTTGTGAGGAAATTATAAGATCCATCTACCAACTTTTCCTGTTTTTTCCTTTAGCACGCTTTGTTGCCTATTACGCCAGGGGTCACACTTGTCGAAGGCTTTTGCAAAGTCTGTGTATATTACATCTGCATTCTTTTTGTCTTCTAGTGCATCTAGGACCTTGTCGTAGTGATCCAGTAGTTGGGACAAACAGGAGCGACCTGCTCTAAACCCATGTTGCCCTGGGTTGTGTAATTGATGGGTTTCTAGATGGGTGGCGATCTTGCTTCTTAGGACCCTTTCAAAGATTTTTATGATATGGGATGTTAGTGCTATCGGTCTATAGTTCTTTGCTATTGCTTTACTGCCCCCTTTGTGGAGTGGGGTTATATCTGTTGTTTTTAGTAGCTGTGGGATGACCCCCGTGTCCATGCTCCCTGTAGTGATGCTGCTCCTGTGGGGAGCAGCAGCAGGATAATACTGCACCACCTCTCGGGGCCCTTAACAACAACATCTTGGTGTGTGTCATGGGCGCCAACGCATGGTGTGTGATTCTCTTCTCTTATATCCATATATTAGTGATGCAGATTACATGGTGAGTTTAAATATGTGGCCTGTAGTTATAACTTTTCTCTTGACATATGCAAGACATCACCCTCCCTGTAGAAGCAGTTATTAGATGTACTAGTCATTATATTTTGTTGCAGAAGTACTATGAAGATTCTATGTTCAATAAAGCCTAGAAATAAGGCCTGTTTCTATCACAACAATTTATTGAACATAGAATCCTGGGCTACCTGGTGGTGATCCTGCACTAGACTACATCACAACATGGAGCGTTTACTGAAACCTGAGAGACTAGACTGTGACCCCAACTTAACGGCTACTCAGGATAATGGAAGCACTGGTTTAAGACTTTCGAAAACTTCTTGGGAGCCCTTCCTACAAAAGATCTAGATAAACTAAGCCTGCTCATCAATTTTGTGTCACCTAAAATATATGAGGCTATTTCTGAGTGTAATACCTATGAAGTTGCTATCAAAACCCTCAAGTCTCAGTATATTAAACCTACAAATGAAATCTTCGCAAGCTATCGCCTTGCAACTCGCCGCCAGCAGATTGATGAATCCTTAGAGGAATACCTTCAAGCACTGAAAATTTTGGGGAAGGACTGTCGCTTCCAAGCAGTGAAAACTGCTCAGTATTGTGAAGAGTCCACCCGGGATGTTTTTATCAGTGGGCCTGCAATCACCAATAATAAGGCAGTGTTTATGGAAAATAAAACTCTCGACTTAGCCACTGCCTTTGACCAGGCAAGAGCTCTAGATTCAGCCCAGAAGAATTCTGAAGTTTTACAGTACCACCCATCCTTCTCGTGTGGTAAGTGCTTTCAATTCCGACCAAGAACTCTTGCAATGAAGTTACTGTGGAAACCTGCCTCATGACAGCAGCAGCAGGTACGGTGTGTTTCTTTTGTGGTTTTTCAAGACATCCACGTCCAAAGTGTCCTGCTCATGAAGCAATGTGCCATAAATGCCACAAGAAAGGTCACTTTGCTAAAGTATGTCGTGCTAATGCATCAACAAGAGCTAGTGCCTCCACACATTCCAGTGATCATGCAACTCTAGCAACAGTGACTTCTGCGGCTACTCCAAATTCACTGTCAAAGGCAGTTGTGAAAGTATTCATCAAAGGAACAGAAGTAGATGGTCTTATTGATAGCGGCAGCTCAGAGAGTTTAATCGACCTGGACTTATGTAAAGTAAAAGGAC